ACTGTATGTTAGTGCGGTAGGGTGATTGAAAACAGTCAGGCGAGAACACAAGGCGGTCATACGAGCCTTTAGATGTTTAAAATTTTAGTACGTCGAGGGCTTCTACAAAGTGTTTCCTACTCATCTTTTCATACAAACGTCTTGACACGACTGAAGAAAACAGTATACTTCCGTACCATTCAGTTACTATAAGGTTTTTTGAATGGCGACTGATTTTGACCGAGAACGCAAGTAACACCTTGTTCCCTGTGTCATTTCTGTTCAGGGAAGGTTCCACAAACGAAGTGGTGTGCTTCATAAGCAGTTTATTGCTGAGTCGTCCAAGTTATTGTAAAGCGTTGCTATTTAACGCAACCTGTCGTCTAAATGTCACCTGTTACCCCGCGTAGCTGTATTGGTCGCGTCAGTCATGCCTCGATGCCCGCTTCGACTATCGTGCAAAGTCAAATTATAGTAACTTGCGTGTCTCTTCCACCTAAGATATTTATATTTTGAAGTCTGATTGCATGTTGTGGCATGCCCAGACATAGACCTCGTTTTGTTAGCCACGGTGCCCAAACACATCCATTTTTGATCCAGTCTGGTACTTCAAACATGATTGGTGTATAGAGAGAGTTGGTTAAAAATTACATGAGATTTTTCTCGTCTAAATTTTACTTACGCACACGAATCGCTGCTTCCAAGGACAGTTATTGGGTTCGATTTGGGTTTGAAGAGCTCGACATCAAATCTTTAACGTAAAGATGCATTATCCTCAATGCAATCGACATCATTGTCTGAAAATGTACAGAATCAGAATCCGTGGTGGACAACATTCGATCTATTCTGCTTTCCTCTCTTAAGCATATTTCAATGTTGTGAATGTTAAATTTTGCGCACGATTTTGAGAAAGTATGCCCGGCCTATTAGTATTAAATTAGATGGAAGTACTTTGCATGATTAAGGGTCTTCGTGACCTACTGCGCTCTTGTTCGGTTCCCTCTGCAGAATTGTGAAACAATCTATACCAGGGACAACTAAGTCTCCGGTCGGGCTCATTTAGCGTTTGGCAAAAAATCATGCTTCTGGGGTGCTGATATTCCGTAGCTTTTGTGACAAATGCCCAGTTGGATTTGAATGTAATGTCGCTTCCACAAAATTGTTGAAGCAGATCGCCGTTCGCTATTTGCAAGTTGGACGAATTGACACCACTTTTAAAGAACCTGGAGGCGCTCCTGAACTTTGATGCGCAATGGGAACGCCCAGGTTTTGTACTCACTTCTTTTTATTTACTCCCTAGCATGTCTACTCGATTAATCTATCCCAGTCTTTCACTCAGCTACGACACGTACCTGATGTACTGCTCCTATGTCAGTCTCACAGGCGCCGGTCATAATATCTGCTCCCTAAACGGGTCACACGGTAGATGCGCAGAACCAAAACATTGGCTAAATCAGGGCTCGACAGGCGTTATCGAAGGTACATACCCCTACCCAGAGGCACGCCTAGGCGTGGGTTCCCGCCGCGCCGGCCACCTATGCTCTCTTCAGCCTCGACTTGCTTATGACTTTGTGTCTAACTGAGAGACGAGAGAGTTTGGTAGATGCACACAAGTCATCGTTCCTGATCCCGCCCTGTTTTAGGACACAGGGGAGTCATCGTCGGAAAAGATGGTCAACCTGTTGGTTTGCTATGTAACCCACCCAAAAGATGAGGCTCATCAGTTAGTTCACTGAACCATAGCTTGTTCTTTATTCACTAATAAATATTTTATAAATTAACTCGCAACCATGTTAGTGAATACTTGTGTGAATCTATGTCCAATGTTTTCCATTTATTTCCTTTTCCAGACCACGCCATGGTTGGCGTCTTCCCGCTTTTCAAGCTGGGTATCCTGGCTGCCAAACAAATCAGTCGCCCCATCGTAAACAACCTAAAGCGCCGAGCAAAGAGCAATGCCTTCTTCCACCGTTATATTTGCACTCCCCCAGGACAGCGTAAGCGAATCGCTAAGTCTCACCTCTCTTCATTGCCTATTTACAGTCTACCACCTTTGGGATACTCGAATAAGGTTGAAGCTTCTCGGACTGGAAACGCCCAAAACGGTGAAGAAGCTATCAGATGATGCGGCGGCTGACATTGGCGCTGAAATTCTCGGGGAGTTTGTAATGTTTACGATCGGAACGGGTCTGCTTGTTCTGGAATACCGTCGACAATCAAGGAATGAAGCCGAGAAAGAACAGCGATTACAGGATCGGCTATCCGGCCTTCGGTCTTCCATTGATGAGTTAGAGAGGCAGTTGCAGTTCCATGAAGAAAAACTGGTTGAACTAAATAGACACTTGCCACACCGATGATCTTTGCCCATGAGTCTAGTGCTGTTCTCTGCTTTTTACCGCATTGTTTCGTTCTTTGCCTTCCCGTTTAGATACCGTCACAAACGATGTAAAGTTCCTTTTTTAGTTATCCATTGGGCGGTCGCTTCGCCTGTTTGTATTCATTGATAAATTGACCATCTTTTCGCAGGTATTTGATTTCTCCTGTTCGTACCCACCTGTTTTCGGGACCAAAGGTAACCACAGATAAATGACACTCAAATAACAATAACATTCATTGTGGTCACAAAGAAATGTGTTTATGTTTTACGGCACGCACATTTAGCCAGGTGCTTTTCATAATCATCAATGACTGGTCCGGGTGCTCCTAAGGGGCATGTGCATGCTGCCAGAGGCAGGTCGACTCTGTGCCTCCGAGTGTGCGCATCGAATAGAACCATTATCAGTCAGTTCAAAACCAAAACTCAGCCGAAAAACAGACAATCGCAATAGTAGCAGTACAGCTTCAATTCTCAAATGGCATCAAAGAAAGAATAGGCGTTAACCAAGAGACTCTGTGGTCATAATTATTACGAAAAGTAAGCCCCTAGAGCATTCGATACCTGTGTCTCATCTTTATAACCACTTGTCGAACACTGTTTCAATTTAGAATCACGAGTTTTCACTTATAATTTACTGGTATTGCTCCTCACATGTGCTGTGACCAGATGAGAATC